CAGCAGGCTGAATAATAAAGACAAGGCTGCTGCTGTGTTTTTATTCACGCATTTATCTGTAGATCGCTTTTAATCTGAACCACAGCAACGTGTGACCTGATGTATTCCCTGAAAAACCCTGATGCCTTTCAGCTGAGGGTTTCACAGTCAAAACAGTGACGCAAAGTAAAGCCATGCTTTGCTTTTGTTTCAACATCTTATTTCTGAAGGGCGTAGCCTTGAGTCCACTGAGCAGTTGTGCAAAGCTCTTTCTCTACAGTCTGTTGGAGAAAGGGAACTAAATAAAACTATCAAGGTTTTTTAAAGAACTGGAAAGTCATGCTGAGTCAAGGCCCATTTCAGGGTAGAAATGCTGGGCCAAAGAGGTTTAATCAGTAACAATTTCAAGGCTGGAAGGGCTATCTAAACTGCATCTCTTTAATGGGGCTGCTATCAAGCCGAATGCCAGAGTGCGTTACTGACGTATTAGAACTATTTTCATTGGCCCAAATTCAGGGTTTTGCCGTAGATTGTGTTTTATTCTGAAATTCTGATTATTCTTTGACTTTCTCTTTATGATCCCATTTCTTTAAAACTATACATCATGATCATCAAAGCAGTGCAGACTGCATTCATCAACACTTCTGGCAAAACTGTTTAAAAATAATCTTAATCTTTTCCTGGATTTTGAATTATTGTAACCTGCAGAAAAAAACATTAACTAGGGTTTAAAAAAAATGTATTCAATTTATCAGAGTATTCAAACGTCTTTACTCACATTTAAAGAAACATTAAGACTGATTTGGGAACTTTTTTCAAAGATCTTTAATGAATAGTACATAGTGACAAAGAAACAAGGATCTGAAACATATTAGTAAAGTTTTTGTAATAAAACACTCTACTAAAATTAGTACAGTTTTTGTAATAAAACACAAAGAAAATGTGTTCCCACTCGTGGAAAACTATTATTTTTAAATAGCACACACTGGTTTTAGTTCAGTTTCACTTATTAACATAGAGCCTATTCACATGTCGTCTCTAAAGCTTGACAGAAGGAAAAAAATGTAAATATGATCAAAAGATACAATAAGATTTGTGGTAAAGTAAATAGAATTGACTCCAGTAGGGCAGGCTAAGTCAGTTTGTGAAAAAAAAGAAAATGCCTGTAGACATGCGGTTCCTAAATGGCAACTCGGTGATAAACGTGCATCATTTAGCCTGGAAGTGAGGAAATAAGAGTGATTTAATATCAGAGATGACAGCGATCCAGCTGCTTGGATATCTGTATTCTTCATGGTATCTATTTGGTCACTACAGCCACTGTTACAATACTGAAAACAAAATCACTTAAGTGTTATCTGGTGCTTATAAACAGCACTGAAAATCCAATCTTAGAAAGTCTGAAACCAAGTATGTATACAAAAAATTGTCAAAGCAAAAAAACTGAAATGAGGAGCAGCCTGAATAAGGAGGTCAAGTATGGTCGTGTTGCCCGAACTTTCAACTCATAATTCTGACTTTCAGTAGAGTACAAATTTTCATTTCAAAGGTTGGATCCTCAGCAAAATAATAATGCAGAGACTGGACCACGGCAAATATGCTCTATAAATTCAGAGGAGAGTTGGTAGAAAGAAGTCACTCCATACTGCAGATCAAATCTAAAGATTTAATAAAACCAATAATTAACTTTTTGGCCCTAAACTGGAAACATCCAATCAGGAAGGAGGCGGGGCTGTGCACCTGCCAACAGCATGCTTTGTGACAGGCATGGAGGTGGGAGCATCATGCTGTGGGGATGAATTTAAATCAGATGGACTGGTCTACACAGTATTTTAATGAAATGTCCTTCAAATGTCTTAAAAACTGATTATAAAATACTTTTAATCATTTAAAAAAAGGACCATAAATATGTTGCATGAAATAAGTAAGGAAACAATACAAATACAAAATAAAATCCTATTATAAACCTGTATTTTTAAAACTAGAATTCCTTTTGAGTACTGTAACTCCCATAAAATCATATTTAAACTTGAGGAATTGGGAATAAAATATAGAAAAAAATTACAGTCAGGCTGACTAAATTAAGTTTCTTTGTTTTCATCAAGACACTCGTGCTGCTTTGATGAGCTTCAATAGCTCAGTGTGAAAAACAGCTGATCCCAGGCTGTTCTCTACATCCAGGCTGTTCACCAGCTTGGTTTGGATGAGAGTCAAAGTTGAAGGTGAATCCAAAGAAAAAAATTTGTGGTTGATGAAAGATTATTCTTTTTAATTGGGTCCTCACAAAGGAAAACAGATCCCTGCCCTGTTTAACACCTAAGAAACAAAATATTTTCATGTACTGATTGCAATGCACTCAAAAACCACTAGGAGTAGAAATACCCCCTGTTAAGAATCACTAATCAAAGTTGAACTAACCACCAATAAATTGCTATAAACTACACTTACATCAAACCTTACTGAGCTTGAGATGATCTGTAATAGATAAACAACGCTGTGCCATTTATTTATCTATTTCATGCATTTACTCTTTGACATTGGAGGCTAATGTGTGTATTTCTCTTAAACTAAACATTTAATTAGGTTTCATTTCCATTTGATTCAAATTAGATGTAAAAAAAAAAAAAGAAGAGATCAGAAACATTCACATTTTGCACTTATTTGCAACCTTTTATTTTTTTTTGCAAATACACTAGAAATGTTTACAAAAGCACTGTATAAACATTTGTGCAGTGTAAATTATCAAAACTAAAAAGGAATATTACTTTGAAATCATTTTGCACCTAACATGACAAAAGTGTTGGGGATTGTCATCTTCAGCAGCAAAACAAGTTAGTATATCTCAAAGGAAATGTCTGTTAGGATATCAAAACCGGGAGACGGTTGTTAAAAAACAAAAAGAAAAAAAAAACAGATCAGTCAGAGTAACAGAAGGAATGGTATGGCACTAAATTAGCAAAGGAGGGCTTCATTCATCTAGATACGTTACACCCAGTCAAGATAATCAGCCTTCCAGTCAAACACTCCAGTTTGACAGAAATGTTAACCACTCTCACAGACTTTTCACAGCACTGGGTTACTAACTGATCCAACTTTTACACTTTTTTTAAAATATTTTTCATACAAATAAAAGATTGAAAGGATCGACAATGAAATGAGCGGACAAAAGAAAAGTACTAAATCAGTCTATAATAAGAAGTAAAGTAATACAACTTACAAAAACTTGGAAAAACTTAAATATCATGTGGCCCCTTTAAAAAAAAAAAAAATAACACATTCACAATTTTTTTTCCACAACTCTGTATTGCTTAGTCTTACGTAATACTGAGATTTTGCTGCTCAAGGAGCTCCGATTACTCAAGTTCTGCACTGAGTTTAAGAAAGAAGCCGAAGCAATACCCATCCGTTGTCTTTATTTAAAATCTTTTGCCTTCGTGTTAAAGGCACACACTCATACCTGTGTTCACATCACGGTTGCAAATAGTTCCCATAATAAGTGATGGCAAAACTTTTTTTTTTTCTTTTTCCCTTACTCTTCAAAGTTAGGCGGCGGCGGTTTAGTGGCACAGCAGTTATCACAGAGAGCAAACACGGCGCCCCGAGCGGATCGATTGGGGTTATCTTTGGTCGAGCAGGGATGAGCCAATGGGCTCGTGGGTCGGTGGAGTGGAGTGCGGATCGGGCCCGGCTGTTTGAACAGTCTGCTCCCTGGATGAAGGTATTTTAGGGATATTAAGCAAGGTGAACGACTATGAACTGTGAGTTTGCACAAGGTGGCGGCGGCGACGACATGCATAGCAGTGGAATACAGAGGCTGATCAGTGAGTGGATTTAACTAAAGGGGAAGAGCTCAGCTCTTTGGCAAACTGTTAGATCAGCTCCAGGAATACACTTATAAAAGTAATTTTATGAAGGTTTTGAAGAAGAAAAAAAATTAATTGAATACATCTTTTGGACACTGAAGAAAAATCAGGAAAAGATTATGCAAGAGTGGCTCATTCCCCTTTAAAGTTATTTTAACCATCTAAAACAGCCCCTAAAACAATACTTTATGATATGTAATGATCCTTTTCTATCAAATAAATGAGTGAATTTAGTATGATTGATTTAAAGATGATTATTAAACGCAAATCTGTTAGATGGCAGCAAGCTTTTGGCTTTTGCGTCTCATCCTTAGGTCCTGAAAACAACAGGAAAAAAACAGGAAAAAAAAGCCTCCAGAGACCCGGAGAGAGCACTAGGTGGTGAATACAAATCCGAGACCATAGATTATGGCAAATTTAGCAGCAACAACAAATGCAAAAGAAAAAAAAAACACAAGAATATCAAAAAGAAGACGCTCCAACTGGTGTCTGAAAGCAGGTCACAATGAACAACTTTTGAAATGTGCTGAACTCATGCGGACCACTTGAACTGAAACAATTAGGACAAATGACACGTAAAAAACAGACTGGCACCATTTTCCAGACAAAGTGCAGGAAAGTTGACAGTATTATGGCCTTAGATTCACTCTCTACCAGAGAGCGCCTGAGGAGGGGGTCTGATAAATGTGGCGGACACAGAGGGCAAAACTCACAGTAGACGAAAGACAAAAACAGGGATTTTCAAGTGCTGTGTGCTGAGCCTGCCTGAACGCCTGCAGCTCCTTGGCAAAATGAATGAGAGCACAGCGGCGAGCGGCACAGCGGGGTCCCGGTCTGAACCGAGCACGGCACCTGACAGTGTCTCTGACAGATCAGCTGTAAATACAACAAAAAAACAAAGATTCCCGCAATCCAAATTGTGCTTTTCATCTCTATTAGGTAGCAGTGAGGACGAGGAAAAGTGTCGACACTGGAGTTAAGTTAGTGTCTCTCAGCACGCCCAGGACTGCCAGCTGGATTTGGTCAGAGGTATCTCAGTTAGTTCCCCTTTACATATGTACAGTAGAAGTGTTTCCAGCTTATCTGAACATGTAGAATACGCTGAACCCTGGTAAGGCAGAAAGCAGGTTCAAGTCTCCCTTGTAAGTCAAGATGGTGTTTTTTGCTGATAATTTCTGAAAATGTATTCAATCATTTTAAAGCAAAGATGCCTCAAATCAAGGAGGACTTTGAATGTCTCCATTCTGTAAATAGTGTTTTAAGGGACCCAAAGGAAGAGGAGGAAGCGGTGAGAATCATGAGTAGATCAGATTTCAGACTAAACTGTGCCTGCAATAGGAAAGAAAACAGTAGTTTGTTTCAAAATAAAGGCGCACACGCAGATTCACTGACGCACAGGAGGTGCAACGTGTCTAACCGGCAGCTGCACAAACTCGTATTAGAAAACAAAGGCTCAGTTGATTTTTATTTTCCTTTATAAAATATACAAAGTCCATTTTTATTAGCAAAACTGTTAACTCGCCTGATTCCAGGAGGTTTTCCTCCTGAAGGTTTCTGGTTTATAAGGGCTTTATTTATTCTGAAGGCTCCAAGTTTTTCCTCTTCTCGCAACACTGACAGAGTACGACTGTAACAACGCCCCCTTTTGTTCGAATTAGTGCTAAACACTGAGTTTCGTATGTGGGGTCTGCTCAGACGATCATGCATCCGTGTGCGACAGCGACATCTAGGCCCCGTTTTTCATTTGGCCTCGGTGTAATTATGGAAAACCCTTTTTTTAAATTCCTGGTTGAACCCTCCTTTCCAGTTTAAGAAGTCCCTTCATGTTCGGGGCCTACCAGGACGGAGATGTTTTGCACGCTGTGGGGGAGGGGTTAGGTTGTGTTGCAGTCCTGCAGGCAGGTAGAGCGGAGGAGGATAGACAGAAGAGTGCTCAGGAAGAAGATCAATGTCTTTGTAGGCTAAACAATATCTTGGTTTTGTGTCCCGCTGTGTTTCCAGTCCTCCCCCACCCACGGAAATTAAACATCCCACACCTCCCCTGTGCTGCTCCCTCAGACCCCTCCTTATTCTCCATGCTAGAGGAGGGGAGTCCTCAATCAACACTTCTGGGCCTCCACTGGAGACATGGCGATGTAGGAGCCGTTCTTCATCGGCTGGCTGGCCGGTTTTTCTGACGAGTCTTCCGGTTTGTCGCTGACCTGTGTGTATGCAGTGTCGTCTTTCGCCGTCTGAGCAGGAAGAATCAGGGAGGGAAAAGAGTCAGTATAAAAAAAAAATTATCTTAAAATTAACAGCAAATTCAGGATGTGTTTAAATGCTGACTGGAATGATCTACAGTAAAGCACAAAACTATGAATACATGTTCATAAAAATAAAAACAACAGGTATCACAATGAAGGTGAGAAACAATAAGGATGTCATATTGCACAAAAAAAAAAAAGAAATTAACAAATAATATGACATAAGAGATGCACCAAAAAAATTGGCCAATGATTGTATTATCATTTTAAGCTTTAGCTGCTGGGTTGAAACAATCGGATCTCCTTCCAGTCAGTGAAAGCACCGTATTAGCAGGTGGCCGTCACTGAGAGAAGAAAATCTGATATAGCAGTTGTTCGTATGAGTGACGAAAGCTTCTTAAAAAGACACTTTTATTTTTTTTGTTACACGTGAGACATTTGTCTGGCTGTGAGGGAGGGAGAGAGAGAGAGAGAGAGAGAGAGAGAGAGAGAGAGAGAGAGCGCGCAAGACTTTCAGCAGATAACAGGAAGGCTTAACAGAAAACAGCAAAGTTGCTCTTCTTCATCTTTCTGAGCTTTAAACCTCGATGCATCTCTGACCACGATGGATCTTGTAAAGGTTGGCATGGATCTAAAAAGCTAAACGAAGGTAAGAATCTACATCTCCAAGAACAGTGGGGGTCAAAGGTCAGTCCTTGAGGGACAGTGTCCTCCACTTCCTCCCCCAGTTTAGACTAATCAACAATTTTAGGCTAACTTTAGACACCCCTGTCGTAGAATATATACACCCACAAAAGATTTACAGCTACAAGCTATGCTAATTGCTAATCTAAGATGCTAAAACCAGTAAAGCTGGTAAAGCTCAGAATTTCGAAGCCTGGAATCCTTCATTTCAAATTATTTATTTCCATCATTTGAAGTTATTTTCCCTAAAAGTAACTTTTTTCCTAATGGAATTAGGTAAAATTGATAACAGGTGGTCAAGGATTTCCAAAAATAAAGCAAAAAGGCCACAGCATTTTAATCGGTGCATCCCTTTTATAAAAGCTGGACAATTAAAAAACAAAAAAATGAGAATCAAAACAAAGGCGAAACTGAAGACTTACAGTAAAAGAATGAAAAGCTTCAGTAAAATCAATACGTTTTACTTCATTCTAGAACAGAAAAGGGAAAAAAAGGGGGGGGTTAAAACAGAAAATTAAACTTAGAACATGGTTAATATAACACATCATGTTGCAATTAAGCATCACTTTGAATGTTTTCTAAGAGCAAATAACCAAAAAGCAAACTTTTAAAGCATCTAGCAATAAATACCTGTTCTGCTTTTGCTGTTTGATCTTATAAGAAAATAAATCCATCCATCTTGGTTCATTTTGAGGTAAGTAGTTTTCTCAAAGTATATTCTCTAAATAAATACTTATAATAAATCCATCTATTACAACTTTATTTCAGTATGAAGGAACTATACTAACCAATATGCAAGAAGTCATTTTTCATATTAATAAAGTTAGGTGAAAAAAAAAGAAATATATATGTATTTTTTTACTTTGTGTTCATGTACTTTAAAATGAGATGTGGTAACTTGTGCTTTTGCTAACTTTCACATCAACCTTCCAATCAGAAACATCATTATCACCCCAACTACAGTATTCCACTCTTTTTCCTCCCCTACATGGTGACACATGAGTAACCCTTAACTATTGGAAGGTTGTCCCTCCAGTTAGCTTGTTACGGTAACACTTCAATAAAATGGATTTCAGTGTTTACTCCCCATTTTTGAATGTGAAATAAAGGACTTTTTGCAGCTTCAGGTTTCGATCATTTCTATGGCAGCACTTTCAAACTCCTTCCCTCTTTCCACTCTAACTTTCAACTTGTGCTTACAACTAGACAGCATTAAGCATAAAAACAAAGCATCAAAGCATAATTTAATCCAGAATTGCTGAAAATGGCTCATGCTGGCTTTGCTGCACAGAAACAATGCAACATGTTAGTGAACAGATGCAGAACTTGGGTTAAACTTGCAGCAGCTCAGTGGGGCAGAAAAGACTTCAACAAGCAAAACATAGTTTGAAATTTTAGTGTGTCCAACTCCAAGTCTAGCGTGGAGCTAGGTCTTTTTAACACTGAGCTGATGTAAGCGTGCAGCAGGCAGCTAAATATACACGTGGATTATTACTGCAGTGGAGGGAAAAAGCAGAGAAGCTTCTTCTTACCTTTTTCTGCCGATTCCTGCAGAACAACACAACGAGCACCAGCAGCAGGATGATGCCCATCCCAATGATGAGAAGGGGGAAGTTTGACACGAGAGTGACAATCAGGAGCAGGGTCCTCATCTGAGACGCCGAGTCTTCGTCAATAGTTGCCGTCTACATTTGAGAACAGAGAGGAATGTGTTGATTTATGAGTTCAGGTTATGGTTACCCGAACATCTGTGGTTTGTGTCTTGAGAGCTGGGAAGACGCTGACCTCGTTGACAAACATGATGGGGAAAATGGTCTCATTGAGGAACTTTGTTTTGCTGAAATTGAAAAAAAAAAGAAAAGAGAAATAGAGGTTAGAAGGAACATCTGGCTCAACACGCTGCCTAAATGTCGACAGCGTATCTCAACAGGAAAGTGGGTCAGAGTTGAAGAGAAACCTACGGGAAGCCTTGGATTCTTTTCACGATGATGTTGAGCTGAGCCCTCTTGCAGGCGCGGATAGGAACACCTGTGGTCTGGAAAAAAAAAAATCTAAGTTTTTTTTTTTACTTTCTAATCACTTCTACACACATTTTAGATTATAAAAACACAGCTGCCATGTTCAAAAGTAGACAATCGGGATTAAAAAAATGCTAAAATGACTGACCATTTAAAAGCAGTCATTAATTTATTTGCATTGTCATTTTTCCAGAACAGAATGTTCAAACAACTAATCCTTTAAACAATTTGGAAGCTCAAGTTGTTTTAGTAAGTTACACATCAACTATCCTTTTTGTCACCATAAGAACAGCATAATACTGTCTGGATACAGGATAAGATAACCTCAGTTAAACATAAAAAAGATGTCTTATTAGTTTAAGGATCAGATCTTTCTGTCCACTTCAAAACCAGTAGTACCAATCAGGAGAGATCCAAGAACAATCACGGCTCAAGCCTTTCAGCCTCCCTTGCATAATATAATGATGTTCATAAAACTGATGAAGTAGAGCAGGGAGCTTTTTATTTGGATTTCTTTCTTTTTCATTACATGTAAAGTGTTAAAAAGCCTGATAAAAGAATAAGTTGTTTGGCATACCGGCTGCAGGTCCAGGTACGTCTCATGCTCCTCCTTGTTGGGGTTAAGCCCGTCAACAGCGTTTATGTACTTGGGGTCGGCCTGGTAAAAGTGGGGGAAGGACACAACGATGGGAGCACCTAGAGAGAAATGGAAATGTGACGAAATAAACAACCAAGGTAAAAAAAAAAGATTAGCTAAACATTTGAGGCATTACGATGTTTTATATCATGTAAACAAAGGCTGAAAGTATGTAGCTGGTAGCTTAACATGGTGGGTGTTCAAAGGAGGGTCCAGTGACCAACCTCTCCTTGAACACTTAATTTGGACTCCAAATGGACTCCAACTTCCTGCTTGGTCTTTTTAATTTACAATCCCTACAACCGTATGAATGACGGCAGGAATGAGTAACAGCTGCAGGTAATGCATTAATGTTTAACTCTTGAGAGTTTCAGCTGTCAGTGACAATTCAAAGGGGCAAACTCTGCCGACAGCTGGGAGGTGTTTGCATGAAGAAATGATGAAGATTTCAGCAATTATTTGCTTAATAAAATACTATTGAAATATAAGCCTCGACTTTGTTTAGGCATTTCATTTTCAGGGTTGATGAAGCACCTGAAGCATGGCCAGCAGGTCATAGGATATTTGCAACAGCTTATTACAGAGCGTCCCCAGGCAAAGTGCAAAACGGCCACCATGTGACAGATGAACAGAACAGAGCTGGTTGGGGCGTCTCAACAAAAACACGATATAGTTTTTTTTTTTTTAGTTACACTTGAAAAACGATCTAGAAATAAGAAAAAATGTCTTAAATTAAGTGTATTTACCCTTGATTTGAGTAGGTAAATGAGATAGTTTGCCAATGGGACCAGTATTTTTACTCTTAAAATAAGATAATTAGATAATAGTTACTTTAAATTAGACAATGCAATTGTGTTTTCTTATTTTAAGTGTAAATTATCTTGTTCCATTGGCAAAATGTCTCTTATCTCCCCAATTCAAGAACAAATGCACTTATTTTAAGAAAAAAATGACTTATTTTTTGTAGTGTAAGAAGTCTTGATTGTAGGGATGACTCAGGTTTAGCTGTTCGTGTTAGCTGTACTGCTACAAGTTTTCACAGGTTTAAATGAGAATTAATGATATGGATCATTTAAAGAGTTGGACCTGCATTAATTTATATTCTGCGTACTGATCTAATGCTGCTCGATTGGCGCACACGCCTCTTTGTTTTTTCCAGCAGGTGATCCAATATTTGCATTTCACCACTGATTTTTATGATGTCTGCAGTAAATGACTCAAAGCTGTGTAATCAGTCCCTGGATAATCTTTGGTTTTATCCTGCCTTTGCAAAACTCCTCCCTCAGCTTTGACCGAAAAGATGAATGTTCCTTATTTTTTCCTGAGTAAACCTGAGGAGTCAGGCGCCGGTTCTCCAAGATTTTAATCATGCTACCGTTTGATTTAGGCACCTCTACATAAAAACGGATCCAACTTTTGCAGAACTCAAAACATGATTGAGGTGTGTTGGAGCATCTGATCAGTTACCGTTTCCAAACCTTTATGTGCCCTGGTGATTAAAAACTTCCTTAGAGTCATCTTTTTAAATGGGATCATTAAATAAATTCTGAAATGTTTTTTTTTGCAAATGTATAGGAATAAAGTTAAAATTTAAATACATTTCAGGTAACTTGCAAGTATAATTGCAAAGGTGAAAGGGTCAAAGTTGATATTGCTTTACTACACACTAACAGCTTTATAAAACCTGCCCACACAGTCAGAGGAGTTAATCATTGAACCTTCGTTGGGTGAAATCTGATGAGCTCAAACATCTGGAAAGTCAGAGAGCCGCTCACCCAATCCATGGAGTAGTTTGGGGGGGGGGGGGGGGGGGGGGGGGGGTTGTTATGATGAAAGGATACTAATGATAACTAGGTCAGAGTCTGAGGTAACCGAGGAGGGAAGGGTGGACTGATTGGGCTACCTTCTCTACAAACGCTGACTTTCAGCACCCCGGTGCCGAGGCAGTCTCCTGCCGGCACGCAGAAGCCCTCGTTGGTGGGGTTTTGCTTGGGGCTCATGAGGACGTCGCTGGGGGGAGCGAAGCGGTAAGCCTGGATTCCTTTAACCTCCACGTCCTCCACGTAGGCCAGATGAATAGACCTGAGGGGTGAGAGCTCAAGGATTAGAGGAACATCTTGGGGAAAAGAAAAAAAAAAAAAATAATCAAACGAATCCATCAAGTGATGTGGACTAAAATTAGACCCAATCTCCACAGAAGTCATTTACAACATAATAAACCCTGCTATCGCTTTCCATTACCGCCATCCTCATCGTGCAATGCAACAGCCCATGGACTCAGCAGGTCTGTGAGTAAACAACTTAGCTGGCATTTCCTTCTACACCATAGCCCCGACAGGAAGTCTCCCTCCTCCCTATAGCCACTAAGATTTGACTGTAAACAAATGAGCAAAACCAAAAATCAAATGTTTGTACCTGCAGAGATCAGCGGCGAAGATGTACAGCAGCTCGTTCCTGTCGATCAGTGGGTGGAAGACTGCGCCGTCGGTGCCGTTGATCATGTTGCTCTGATTGGATGACCACCAGGACATTTCCCTGATGGAAACAGGAGTAAAGCAATGAAATGTTAAACAAGCTGGAGATACCGTACAGAATAAAACGGAGAGTTAAGAATGTTAAACCAAACCCTTTCTTATCTTTGTTCAACACAAATACAGTTTTACTTGATCTTGAAGCTAACTGCTAATTTGACTAGGTTTAAGACCAAAGCAAACAACTACAGAATTTACAACAACTTTCATCTTTAAAATGCCATGAAGATCTGCTCAAACTTCACTTTATGACTTTCAAACCATCCTTATTTTTGTATTTGAAAGCTTTTACCACTAAAGTCGATGGTTTTTTATACTGGTATGGATGCAGAACGTTGCAGCACCAAAAATCTTCCTGTATGAAACATGATCTGATGCAATAAACTTCTGGTCAAAGTATCCGTCTCACATAACATTATTTTTAAAAAGCCTCAATGATAGCATTTGCTTGGGCCATTAAAATACTTTATATATTAGTTACTTTGACAAAGGACGCTCTAGTGGTTATAATCAGTATACATTTCATACAGCATCAAAGGCGGCACACCTTCTTCTAAGAATGCTGTGTAAATAAATACCTGATAAGAAATTCTGACTCATTTCATTTAATTTAACAGCACAAGGATTCCTTTCATACTAAATTGATATGCTGATACTTTCTATAATAATAATAATAAATTATTAGACACATTGTTTTACTGTTGGTCAAATTAGGAATCAATAAGATTTGGATTTTATCTTTTTTTTCTAACATAAATCCTATAAAATAAAAAAATAAAAATATATATATATTCTTACAGACAAAACCAGTTAATTTCCTGCAACAGGATGAACTGGATTCATCCTGCTCATCCTGACCGATTCCAAACTACACCTTCACCCACTTTCCAAAATGTTCTAATTTAGCAATACTTTTTAGCCTAAAAACCAAAGAGCAAAGGTTGTTGCCTCCGGACGTTTGCATGGAGGTTTTGCAACAACGCAAACAGTGGATATCAGGGACCACGGGCAGTTTTAGCAACGTGCTGACAGAGGGGTTTCATATCATCCAGGAGAGCAGCAGTAGAGTGAGAGAAAAGCGTGGCTTGACATGAAAGTTTACCTCAGGCCATTCCAGGTGTCGATCTTGCCATAATCCAAGTAGTTCTGCTCCCCGGTGTGGAACACAAACTCTCCTTCGTGAGTGCCGTTTTTCTGTGGAAAACACAATGTTTAGACACGCTGCGGTGAGGAACAACAGACCAGGAAGCAGTGGAAGCAACAGCTGTCAGAAACGGCAGTTATGACCAGTGATGAACGACCCAGAGGGGGAAAGGGAAAAAAAGAAATACTCCTTTAATATTTGTTCTGACAAGCCCTCTAATGTAGGAACAACACATGCTTTCAGGTCACGTTACAGACGACAGACTTAAATGTCTATAAATCACGTTTTTTGGGGGTTTCTTGCCATTTTTTTTTTCTTTACCAGTTTCTACAAAAAAAAAAGGTTTATTTTCTTCATGTTGCTGAAACTTATATGATAATGGATCATCAGCTCCATCTGTGCGAGCCTCAAAAGTAACCCTATCAAGTCATGTCCTTAATTACTTTACTGCTGGAGACAAACTGAAGACGCTTGTCTGTCAACAGGAAGTACGAAATCTTCCATCAGCATTTGGAAGCAGATTTAGGTGACATTAGTACCAACTTCCCCCATTTTGTCATTTCAGTAACTCTGGACAGTCTGCGCACGCCAGCTTTCCCTCTGGCTTGGCATAATATAAAAAAAAAGACTGGAACCTCACCTTCCACATCAGCCCAAAGTATTCGTCCACTTCTGGCTTTATTTTATGGATCTTTGACATGAGAGGGTCCTTGAAGCCCCAGAGAACCTCGTGGACAGTGCGAGTCATGAAGAGGTCGACTCCCAGGCTGCTCACATACATGGACACCATGGTACGCAGAAAAAAGCTGTAGGAGTTCAACTCGTTCATCACCGCCTTAGAAAGACAAAAGGAAAAAAAAAAAAGTTCAATAGAAGGAAAAATCGACTAAACATTGCCTCCTTTTTATAAGATATTATAGCTTTGACCTCCTGTTAAATCCTTCACTGGTTCAACATGTATTCATAGTTTATATGTCTGAATTATAAGAATCTCCCAATGAGATTCTTATAATGAGTGAAAAATAAGTGGATTTATGTAAAATAACACACAGACATTGTGTCTCACCACAAATGGGATGTTGATCGTCCTGATGATGTCCACCTCAGGGTTACCAGCCGACTTCTCAGGGACAAAGACAAAAGATTTGGGATTCAGAGCGTAAACCTTGGTGCCGTTCTCCAGGAAAGTGACGTTTTCCCGTGGCCTGTATTCCCTGATGAGGACAGAAACATTGGTCGATTGTTATGGATGGTAAAACCAGATGATAAACAATCATATGGCTTCCCTCTGCAGTGAAATCATAGCTCGGTAATAGGGAGAATTTGCAGAAAACAACAGGTTACAACAAACTAATTTAATACAACTTAATGTGATAAACCAACAAAAGGTATTCTGTGAAAAACAAGGAAAATCTCAGTCAATGCTTTGCTACAATCATTTATTTTTAAATATCTAAATCAAGTAAAGACAAATGAAACCGTTTTAATCCCAGTTACCTAGACTTAAAAGTTACCTGTAAGTATAAGGGCCGATCTGTTTGACAGACGCCTTCCCTCCTGCGAGAAACTCCTCAGGATTGGTCACGTTGAAGAAGTAATACTCCATGTAAACAGGCGGGGGTGGGTTCTTCCATGACTCAAACACTTGGCTCTTCTCTGTCAACGTAATTTCCTGTCAAGCGAATAATAAATGAAATGAAAAGCACGTCGCTACTGAGAAATATTACAAGATCAGACAGATCTTTAACCGGGGCAGAGTGATGGCGTATGCTTCATGGTTTTGTGGTTTTTTGGGGGGCGCTGTCAATATTGTGTCATACTTGTAGCTAGGAGACGGGCCAAGACCTCAAAAACCCAAAGGGAAAAACTTCAGAAAATTTAGAAAATGTGTCCGAAAGAACTCCCCAAGATGATATGAAAGGTGATAGATATAAGACACTGTAATGTTTAACCTGAGCACTCGGCTGTAAAGCAGCATGACGGCTCGAGGTGTTTGCTGACAGGAAAAGTAAATCAGCATCTGCTACGAGAGAAACGCTCCACTTGCTTTCCCTGCTGAAAGCCCTCCGCCGCTCTGAGAAGCTGCACATATTGTTTTCTGTGGTCTTTCACAGGCATTCCGGATATATAGCATAAGGTTTGACTAAAGCTTCCTGTTTGGGTGAACGCCTCAAATGTTCAAAGTGCCCTAATGGACCTTTGCTGCAACATTTTTTCTATTGTTCCTTTAAAAAAAAAAAAAAAGTGATTAAAAAACACAATGATACTTTCAAACAGGCCAACACCCTAAAAATAAAATAAAAGATGTACTGATAACCAGAGAGTGTAATTTTGGACAATACTTGATTGGCAATATGCCTTTTAAATTATCAAAAAATATATAAAACAAAACAAGAACTACTATCGTTTTTTATTATTTTTTATTCGCTTAAATCAATTTAATTTGGAGAGTTTAATCATAATCTGATGAAGGGATGACGATAATCTAGTAATTCCACAATTTCCTATGAGTCACAAAAAAACTCAAATAATCAGCAGTTCAAATGGGTTTTATTTCTATAATAAATCTGCAAAAACTGGAACTGTTATCTTAAAAAAAGAGCTTAATCTGCTCATCCCTACCTAAAATAACCTTTAAGAAAAACAAATGTCACTGACCACATCGAATATGACAACGGGTTTTTAAAAATGGCTGATGGAGCAGTTTTAGCTTTAGTTTGCCTTCGCAGCCTCACCAGAATCAACCCCTAAAAAGAGAACTAGAGGTATTTAAGAGGCAGGGACCTCTGGAGTCCTGATGAGTCGGTCTTTTTTTAATTAAAAGCTGAAATGAAACCAGATAAAGCTGGAAAAAAAGGTATGACCGTCAGCTGAGCAGGGAAGAGTGAAAACATTTGGTTCCTTTTGTTTTTAAACGACAGCAGATTGTTGGCTCAGAGGCGGCTGACTGAACCTTCGCAGCACTAAGTGGGACTGAATCCTCGTGTTTGTCAACCTTGGGGAAAGGTCTTCCAAAGTTGAAGGGATTGGAAAAGTCATGTATCAGAAATGCCTGCATCAAAAACCAGAACATACTACAGTGTTTTTAGTGAACTGAAGGGAATCCAGTTACACTTAAACAAGAACGTTTACATGAGAAACAGACTAAGCATGACCTTGTTCCTCGGGACTTTTACACCTCAGTGAAAAGGAGTGGCAAAAGCGGGTGTGTGTGCTTTTTCCCCTCCTTATTTTAGTTTTCTCATTTGGGCCGAACGATTTGGGATTGGCTTAAGCAGGATAAAGGAGGAATTAGGCAACATCTTTCTGGTAAAACTGATTCCCTCGAGGGGTTAGAAAGCCAACAAATTCCTCACAACACTCCTGTGCTGCTTCTCTAAGAATCAACCTCCAGGAGGGAGACTTTGATTTCCCCCCTTCTCCATAAAGCTACGTTCAGCCTCAGATTAGATGGGTTTTTGGAGTCCATTCAGCATGTCTGAGGCGGTCTAATTTATTTGGGAAAGAGGATTAGCTATGCTGTCATTTCTTGTAACCACCAGCTGCGTCAAAGTCAGATCCCCCCCGTTGATTAACTTTTGCTTAATTTGGGTCTCAGTGGGATGAGGTGCTGTTGCCGTGGTTCCTTTTGCATCCAAGTTGCTCCTTTCCGACTTTACTTTGAGCAAAGCAGAAAAAGATGCATTGGAAGCACTCAATGGAGGAATGCAGAAGGGCAAGTGAGAAAAGAAAGATCAGCAGCATGTTAAAGGGGGGAGCAGGTCAGCTGCCAGTGACCCCACCCAACCCCGGCTAGAACCCATCAGCCCCCCACATCCCCTAAACTACAAAAACAAGCAAAGATTGGTATTTTAGAATGACATAAGAGCATAAAAGCAGCATGCTTTGCTCCAATAGAGATCTTCTAGGTAAAATAACAAATATTATTAAATATGGACTTTCTATAAACTATGACTGATTTATTTTCCAATTTGGACTAAAGAAATGACTGCAGAGAGTCCAGAATCACCCAACCTCCCTTCCCCCAAAGCTGCACACCTCCCTCCCCCTTTCATTCACCAACATTTCTCCCACTGCCTCCTGGAATCATTGAACAGCCAAGCAGGACATGAAACCTGTGTCAGCTGCTGGCAGAAATCATAATCTCATCAGGATTAAAAAATCCTTCACAGCAATTTCCCATTCAACAACAAAAAAAATATAATAATTGTGTTAAATAAGAGCATCCCATGTTAAAGACCCTTTAAATGAGGGGAGATAGGCTCACATCAGAGGTGACTCAGTGTGTTTTACCTCAACATTTCACATTTGTCAATCATGACAAATTAATCAATAGCTATAAAGCTAATCCAGCTGGATTAGAGACCCCAAAGAAACACAGAGTAGTAAAATGTAGGGGATTATGTCAGTGGATGAGTCTGTGACCCTGCTTTGATTTGTCACCGCGGCTCACAGTGGAAATAATGACAGGTTTACCTTTTTTAGCCGGCTGTGGATCATCGTTTGGAAGACCTGAGCCACGACCAGGGCGATCCCCACGATCAGGAGGTGAGCGCAGACGATGCCGGTGGCGTAAATGACACACGATCTTCGAGTCATGATGAAAACTTCACTGAAGAAGGCAATAACTTCCACAAAAATAGATCTATCTCTATATATATGTGATTAAGGAAAAGGAGGTGAGGAGTTGTAGGACCGTGAAGGCTCGGGTCCCCCCGTCTCCAGAGCAGCAGCTGCGGGTTGAAACTTCACTCTTCCCCGCGGCGAGAGGCGATCCTCCCGGTGAGGGTTTTAAATGGATGGCACTTCTTAAACACAGAAGGGAAATTAAACGTAACACAATTTAAACCCCCCCGAAAGCAAAGGAGGACCAAGCTGCTCGGAGACGGAGGTGAAATGAGACGGTGTCGCCCTGCTAGTAGGGTGGTAGAAGAACGGGAACCAACCTCCTCCCCTTCCTGAAGCCGGTGAGGCGACACGCATAGATCTATGCGAGTAGACGCTGCATTGGGGGGGGGGACCTAAACCCTTAACGGACGTAAATTACGCGGCCATCTTGAAGGAGGCATTTTTTTCCTTCTTTCTTTTGTTTTTGACAAAACAGCAAAAAAAAAAAAAAAAAAAAAAAAAAAAAACATTTCCACTTCAAGGTGCTGGGTGAGGTTTTGACAATTTGGTCTATGATTAATCATGAAGCAAATAAATATGCAGATGGAAGAGCCTGGGCTCTTAATTCAATTCAATTCAGTTTATTAATGTAGCGCCAATTCACATTCAAACACATGTCATCTCAAGGCCCTTTACAGTTCACCAGATCATACGGTCAAATTGATTCAAAGTTTTCTATCTAAGGAAAACCAGTTGATTGCATTGACTCATTGACTGGGATGCAATCCCTCACACTAAGTATGCTTGTAGTGACAGTGGAGAGGAAAAGCTCACTTTTAACAGGAAGAAACCTGCAGCAGAACTAGGCTCAGTGTGAGCGGCCATCTGCCGAGGCCGACTGGGGTTCGAGCGGACAGACGCAGAGATACAAAAAGCAGCTTACTGCGTGGAGTAAGTGTGTTCAGATTATAGCTCACTCTGTCCTCCTTCCAAAAGCAGATAGGATGAGTTGGGAGACCCTAAGATAAGAGTGTTTGCAAGACAAGGTTTTTAGTCCTGTGTCTCTGTGATGGAGTGGTGACTGGTCCGGGGGGGTGGGGGGGCTGTTGGCAGATACCCAGCAGTTCCCCACATCCAGGCAAGTATATACCCCTTTCCCCCGGCCAGTAAAACAGTTTAAACCTGGGAACGATCGGCTTTTAGTGGCTTTTAGTGTGCTCCGATCGGCATACGTTGGTAAAATTAGATCCAGATCGATTTATGAGATATCATTGAGAGCAGCATATGGATGTCACAACATAATATATAAAAAATTATTAAATATAAAGGTTATTAGATCAGTTATTAGAGCTAAAGATCCGATAAAATATTGTGGTTTGGTATAATTTCTGTCTAATTGTTTATTGATGCAATTTTGTTTGTAATCCTCATAGCACTGTGAAATTTATTTTCTCTAGTTTACATTAGGTTAATTGGCAAACATTAAAATTCTAAAAAAAAAAAAAATGTATAGATTTTTTCTTTACAAAACTAATCTTAATTTTTTAGGTTTCCGTTTATTATTTCTTTTATTTGAAAACCTACTTTCTAACCACTCAATACCAAATTTGCCACTTGCAATATGGAGGAGGCACTGACGCGTTGGTTGTATTGGGCAGAAGCGACTTCTACTCTTGTAGTTCTATGGCCAGAGGCCAGATTTTTGGGCCGGCTGTATGGATGGGTGTGTGTGTAAAGATGCATACACAACTGTTTGTAAGAATGCTGTTTATGAGAATGTTTATGTAACTCAACAGAACGTGATTGAAAATATTTCACCTATTTTGTCGGAGCATGAAACTGCCGACTATATCATATTTATTTGTATTCGTTTTATCCTTTATGATGTTCATTCTCTGCTGATCTAGTTACTGTTACTAGGGTTATGAATTAATTTAACAGAAGCAGCATGGTCTACCACATGGGCACGCTGTTGGTTAGTATCATCACTGCCACACTGTTTATACTGTTATTATCGTGGCTTTTTGTTGTAAATATTTCACAATGGTTCGCTCTGCTAATGAACATGTAGGAAATGATAAGGCAGCACATTCCGTTAGCTTTTATGTCGCCTCCTTAAATAAGCGCCGGGTCGGCATGAATAATGCTGGATTCAAACAACCAACGGTCGTTGACGCGAGCGCTTTGTCCTACAGGCGGGGGCTCTCATTGGCTGCCGCCCTCACGGACCACCGTTCCAAGACCTCCCACTCTGCGCGCGGATTGGTTGGACGGTGGTGAGAGTGATGCTGAATTTCATCGACTGATTTCAGGGCGGAGCTTGTTTAAAGAGGGAACCAAAACATGTGAGGCTCTCTTCTGTCAGAGGGAGAAAAAAATAAAATAAAGCACGGATGTTTAAAAGGTTGTTTTTTTTTTTCCCTGAACCACACATTGTGTTTCAGAGGTGAACAATAAAACAGGGAAGATTTATGACCTGTGTTATACTCACAAGGAGTCTAAGGCCATCAGATAATGACAATGCCAAATCATAAGATCTCTAACCTTGGAATTAAAGGGAAGGGTTCATTTTGTTCTTTTACCTTGACCAAGTTAAGAGGTGTTGAAATAAAAATGAAAAACAAAAAAACCAAACAAAATAAAAACGAATAAATACCTTCTCCATCTTCTACCTGTCTAGTATATCCCTTTTGAGTAATTAACCTTACATATGGGGAAGGGAACAAATAATAGATAAAAATAAATAAATATGACAGTTTTACTCATACACACTTACATTTAAAACAATATTCTGACTCAAAATACAGCCAAACAGGCAGAGTTAAAGACCATTCTAACAAGGCCTTCAGATAATGACAGGAACAAATCAAAAACTTGTGTAACCTTGAGATGGGGAGCTGGACTCATATACTTTAAAACTGGAAAAGTAGTAAGAAAATCCTGCCAGCAATATGGAAAATAGAAGTCCTGTTCAATTCAGTCATTTTTAAATGACTGTTAACGCGACAAGGCAAAAAGTGACCTGCAACCAACTATAAGAATCAATAAAAAAAAAAAAATCTGATTTTAAAACCAAACTCTTTTCGATTATTTGAGTTTTAATTGGTTTGTTCTGCAGTAAAACAACTAGTTTAAATCTACCCCTTTTTCAATCAAGTTCGCCTTTTCAAACACCTATTGTATTGTGCTAATCGGAAGTGTAAGGCCATCAGATAATAGCAAACACAAACCATAAAAACTAGAGTGGCCTTGAGATAAGGTGCTGCTCTTATAGTTTTTACCTTGACCATGATTTGAAAAGGTGTGAGCTGAAATGTTTAGGAAACAACATTCAACATTAAAATGCATGCAGACATTTCAGTTTCATATTTTTCAACCAACTAAAAATCATATTTTTTTCATCTTATGAGGTGATTTTCTCCTATGGATGTCATACTTCTGGGACCAAATGTTTAAGCTTTAACAGCCTTCCGAATTAAAATACTTTTGAACATGTTTTATTAAACCCGCTTCTTCAAGTAATAATTGAAGATTGTTATTTGGAATTTTTTAATTTACCATTGTAAAGATATTTATATGCAATGGTAAGTATTCTATTCTATTCTTATGTACTTATGTTCCCCCACATAGAACAAATCATTAATTAACTAAATTTGAAGGCTTTACTTACGTGTTCACTACTACAGAAATATATTAAGGGTTTTAAATGACAGCTTAAAGGGTTCAACTTTTACATTGCATATGGCGCTGCCATTCAACCAGAACACATTTGTTTTTTTTTTAATAAAAAAAAACATCCCATGTTGCTACGGATGATTCACTCTGCTTTGTTGAAGTCCGTCTCTTAAGAGTAAAACTATTTCCTGCTGTGCAATGCATCATTAAAACCAACGTGAAAGAAAAAGCACAGAAATAATTTTTGCTGCTGTAAAAAAAAGAAAAAAAAACTATTCTGCACAGTAAACATGGTGCTATGCAGTATCTCACTGCTGGTTCAGTTACTATTCAGCCTAAAACATAGTACTCAATAAGAACTACAAAGGCACATGTATGGTATTTTGATCTCTGCAAAAATACAAATATGTTTTGCTATAAAGCCTCTCCAAAAATAATCTGAACCGTAATGGAGAAGTCTTTTAACTAATATATAGATTCTTTGTTTCTTTTTTGTTTTTTTTTACAAAGTTTTCAGCTGTTCTGGGAAAAAAAAAATTAAATGCACCACTGTTTTAAAGTTAGAAAAGGTCAAAGGGCAAATTTGCTTTGGGATTCTGAGGCACTGAAAGCATTTAACCAGTGAGAGGCTGAAACAAGACACTGGGAGCTGCAGGAACCACCACAGTCCATGTTTACATGCAAACACCAGCTGCTTATCTTACAAGCAGACTTATACCCAGAATTCGAATGGATTAGATGGACAAGCTGATACCAAAAAAGAAAAGAAGGCTGTGTCAATCCCTTAGTGATTTTTTGCATAGTCACCACTGTGGATACATCTATTTTGTGTGACTCTAAAAAGAAAGCCCCAATATCTCACTGATCTGTACTAGACCTCCGGTTAGTTCGATGAGTCCAGCTCTTTCAGTTGTAGTGCACTGACTGAAAGGTGAACACGGTCATTCAGCTTCTGTTTTATAATCCATAAATAAAGTTGGACAAAAGACAACAGGTTGGCCTCAGGAATTGATATACATCATATCATTTGATGTTGCTTTCTGGAAGGAAGTGACTGGGCTGGACTCTCACTATTAATGTGATTGAGTGTTACCTCATTGTACAAGGCCTTATGGCAGTCCCAGAGGATAGAGCCTGTAGCGGGGGCGGCATCTGTTCAAACAAGAGTGGGGAAAAATGCTAAAGAAAATCATCAGGGGGGAAGGATAACAGTCAAGTAATGCAGCAACATTGTTCCTGCCAAAGAAAGGAGGGAGTGGGTGTGGGGGGTGAAGTAGGGTAAAACAGTTCAACTTTTGTAATAGTCTCTTTTTATGTTTGCTAAGCAGAGCGACACTGATGTCTTTCTTTTTTTGCTGCTGAAGAAAAGGTTTGAACGCCTTTTGCACGAACAGATTTAAGATGGGGTTTTTTTTAATGCAAAATAGCTGCTTTTACTGTAGATATATAATGGTGCAAAAAATAAATATTTACATGCATCATGAAATGAAGCATTTAGAAAGAAAATATTTTTTAAAAATAAAAACAAAACTATTCATGTTGGTTGCTTCCACAAATCATTCATTGTGTTCAAGCCCCACCTCAGAAGCAAGAACATTTGTCTAGACAGAGATGCCTATTCATGGGGTTTTGGGAC